ACTATGCTAGCTGGTTCGGCCATTCGGTTTTTTCCGGTTCGGTTGCGTCTTCCGGGAACTTTGTCTGCGCAGAAGGTTTTGGACGAAACATGAAAATTCGATCTCGATTTTGCTCCCTGGCTGCAAGTCTGCACAGAAATCTTTCGCTTTCTTGGGATCCTTACTTAGACTTGAGCCGATCAAGCTATTGACACACACCCTTCCCCGGACGTTCGGGGGCCTCCTGACATGTATTATAATCATTGCATTCAAGTGGTAGCCTGTCCAAAATCTGAGGTGCAGCCGGGATGTCAGATACAGCTGTGGCTGCTGTTGGATCAATGTATCCGTGGTGATGCCACTACAGGCAGTCTAGACCAGCGATGCAAAACGCCTCTGCCCGTTCCTGCCCTTGCAACAGTAGAGCCCAGATGCAATTGCCATTGCTACAGGGCCGTCCAAGTCTGCGGAATTCTCGGATACGCATATTGCATGTACCTTCCTTTGCCAAGCTAGCGGTAGTTAGGTCCGTCTTTTACTCACGACTCCGCAGCACTGGCTCTTGCTATTGCACTTCGCCTCAGTGACCTCTGCATTCTACCCGCTGCAGGCCAGGATAGAATGCGCAATCGTGCGAGACCCCTGCCAGCAACTGTGCCAGGCATCAGCATGCTACGCAATCTTGGTGTCGCTTCAATGTGGGTGTCCCTCTCCATGATGGGCATTGCAATCCTTCTTGCCCTAATGACAAGATCTAGCTGGGCCCAAGCCTCAGTACGCGCAGCCCATAACTACAGGCCGCTCCTGTGACTTTTGCCGGCAGACTTAGGACTTCCACATGCGTGGGGAAGCGCGCTATCCGGATGGACAGGTGACCTGGGCACTGACGGTTGCAGGCGGCCTTGCGGTGGCCTGTTGGGATCGTTTTAGGCGTGTGCCCGTGTGCATCTCTATCCCTGCAGGCAGCACGACTACGTTGAGCCAGCGTCCACTTCCCGGCTATACCTCTTCGAGCCCTTCCACCAGCCCTCCAGGACCTTGGCTTCGGGGCGCTGCAACCTCTACCACCAGTCCAGCCAGCCTCTCGTGATCTCTTGCGCGGAGGGCCGTAGGCTCCGAACCGGCGCAGCCTGCCGTACGCCGGAAACCTGCAGCCCGGATAACCACCCGGCCCAGCCACTCTTGTTTGGGCAAGCCTGGCCTATCGTGCACCTGGCGCACCAGTCGGGCAGGAGCTGCAGCCCGTCCTGCAGCAGGCACACAACGCTGCCCCCTCTGCTCGCCAACTCAGATGCAGGCGCCCTTGCCTCAAGCAGCTGCTGGCTCTCCGGTCTTGCCGCGCCGCTGAACTTTGGGCACTCGTTGAGGACCACCTTGGAGCAGAGCCACCCTGTACTACCGGTGCCGCATCGCCTCGGCCACTTGCCTGGGACGCGTGGATGCGCCCTGTTCCTGGCACCCCACCCAGAGCGGCGCTGCCGCCAAAGTGAAGCCAAACTAGGGCGTGTTTCACTGCCCCCTTTGCTCTACAAGTCAGACGCAAGCCTTACATCGAACAGCACATGGCAAGCGAGCCCTCACCGTGCGTTTCAAGCAGCTCTTGGCCCTCCGGTCCTGCAACGCCCCCCAGCTCTGGGCCCTGGTTGAAGGACATCTGGGCTCAGCTGCCCGCGCGTACTACCAGAATCATGCTGGCGCAGCGCCCAGGAAGACTTTACAGCAACAGTGGACAGAGCAGCCATGAGATCTCGAAGCGGCTCTGGGATGTCACTGGTGCTGGGTGCCTTGTAGCCGATGCCGGGCGCAGTGCTTGCACTTGTTCTGGCGAGCTCGGAGCTGGGTGTTCTTGTCGTGGCTGGACTGGTGGAAGGGCCGAGGCTCCGCACTCTGTGCACATGAACCAGGAGGCTTCGCGGGCCCAGAACTCGAAGTGCCGCGCCCTTGCACTCATCCATGCTCGGCCAGAGTGCTGCTCAGAGAACGCCAGCATGCGTCTATCCTCTCGTGCCCGCTCTTTCCAGACGCGTTGCCCCTCCTGGTCGGGCAAAGGGTGGACGGAATGGCGGAGCTTGAGTTCCTCCTTAGCGCTCCTATCGACATTGATGTGGGGGAGTACCGCCACCCGGCTACGCTGGCGCCCTCAGAGCGTCCAGGACCAGGTGGCCAGCCTGCGAGGCGAGGACCGACGCCTAGCCCGGGAGGCATGGCGGTTCCTTCGCTCGCGCCCTCTACCGTCTCCGCTCATAACGTGGAAAGAGCACACACAATTCTTCCGTCTGCGCCCCAGCTACTCGGCCTACCTGTCCTTCGTGGCGCAGCACAATCTGTTCTTGGCCCAGGCTGGTCCGCAACCCGACAAGTCGGCCCGACGCCTGCCAGTCCGCTTTGTGGAAACCCTGTGGCCCCACCTCTACCCAGCGGTCGCCCTCTGTAGACGTTTGTGCGGCTGGAGGATGGGCGTCGGGTGGCGCGCGAACGCAGTGACATGCGGGCAGCACATGCTCAGCGCCAGCAAGCACAGCGGCGACAAGCCAGCCAAGCGGAGCCCCAGATTTCGGACACAGAGGATGGAGAATCTGGGTCAGACGATCAAGGGGAGAGAGCGGAAGAAGAGGAGGACGACGTGGAGTCTCCCCTGCACTTCCTGAAAGACTCCGCACGGCAGTCGCTCAAGGCCAGCTTCTTGGCAAAGGTGATGTCCTCCATCATCGGCTATGCCTCTGATTACGAGCTGGCGCAGTTCGTGTGCGACCTCTGGCTTTGGAGCTTGCTGGGAGGGGCCAAGCACGCTTCGGGGGTGCAGATGAGGGTGGCGCTGGCTGGCAAGCCCTTTTCGCCGGAGTACTGGCGGACGCGGCACTTTGCTTTGCTAGATTTGCAGAAGCAGCTCGGTTACCCGACCCTGTTCGTGACCATTGCCCCGTACGAGTGGTCCAGCCCTTACCACGCCTTTCTTGAGGACGAGCTCCTGCGCACCTTCAAGACGCGACTGCACCTGCCCGGGCCAGAGTCCTTCCACCTGGCGCATATCTTGACGCAGGCAGCCCTGGGCCTCGTCACGGGCTGGAACAAGAAGGACAGGGGTGGCTGGACGCAGCAGCGACCCAAGTTCCGCCGCCCAGGGCTCCGTGCTGAACCTCTTCAGCCGCATCGAATTCCAGGACGGCAAGCGCAAGCGCGGTGTGCGCAACGAGCGCCTGGACTATCATGGGAGGCGGCCGCCCTCACGTGCACTTCCTCGTATGGCTCAGGCACCCGGAGAGCCTGCCATGGTCTCAGATTGTTTGTGGTCACCTCCCTTCGGACAACGCACCGATGGAGCAGATTGCGCGAAGCAGCCAGATCTCTTGGACGGGCAGTGGGTGGCCCCGGAGGGAAGCTTCCACCGTTTGGGACCACAGACTGCAGGGCGCCTCCACTTGCACCACCCCGAGTCCGCTTGGAAGGAAGGCATGCGTGCATACATGCCGGACGTCCTGGCTAGTTTGAAGTGCCATATGGATGTCCAGGCGTCGGACGGCCGGGGCATGCTGCTCCGCTACGTGGCCGGCTATGTGCCGAAGTTTTCGGATTCCTTCCAATCCAACTGGCTGGATGATGTCTCCTCCGACTATGCCCTGGCCCGACGGGTCCTCACCCAGTACCAGCCACTCGAACCGGAAATGTGGTTGCAGCTGGGCGCCCACCTCTTCCGTCAGTGCTTCGCCGGCGGAGGCCTCAGCCGCTTCGTCGTGCCGATGCCCTGGAGAGGTGACCTCCCTGAGCGCGTGCAACAGTACATGGCCTCTGCCTGGCGCCCACAATCCATGACCTTGCTGACGTACCTCCGGAAAACAAACCAGCAAGGAGCTATCCACCACGAGTACAAGAAGACCTTCGCTGCCATCGCTGCTGCAGAGGGGTTGGGGCATGATGATTGGGCTCCCTGGCTCGCCGCCGCCCCGTACAGTGGGGCCGTCCTCGTGGCCGCCGTCACCAAGTCCCGCTTCAGCGACGAGTACTACAAGCAGTGGTGCCTGTTGCACGTGCCCTTCCGCTTCCTGGACGACCTCTGGCACACGCGCCTGACCTCTTGCCGCCGCAGTTCCAAGGCTACCGGCTGCACTAGTCACCTGACAACGTTTATGAGCTTGTTCCGACTGACCACATGAATCCTACCAAGGTCTGGGGATGGCGCTGGTTCATGCTGGAG